GTGTTGTATATATTGTATAAATATTTTGTAAATAATATAAAAAGACATAAAAAATTAAAAATAAAAAGTTAATTTTTGTATAGCTAGTTAATTTTGTTGTATATAGTGGTATAATTATTTTTTAAATAATATGAAAGGCATAAAAAAATAAAACGTAAAAAGTTTATTTTATTTGAAATCTCCATCTTTCTACTAACAACCTCTTTCACTAAATGTATTATAGAAACCTAAAAAAATAAATTTTTGAAAAATTGAAGTGTTATTTCCAAAATTTGTACGCCTTTTATTAATTTTTACATTGATAACCAAATCTTTTATTTTATTTATTAATTTTTACATTATAAATCATGTAATGTACTATTTTTCTTGCAGTTGTCAATAACACATTTTAAATTAGATAATATTATAAAATATTTTTAATTTGTTATTATTTGTCAAATAAAAAAATTATAAAATGTAAACTAATAATTATAATTTCAGTATATAATATTATAATTAGTTAGGTTTTAATAATTTTGGATTATAGTTAGTTAGGCTGTAATAATTTTGATTTTTAGCAGATTAGGGTTTTTTGCCAAAACGAGATTTTAATGGCCATTCCTTCATTGATTAGTCTACTCTTTATAATAGTCCATGTATAATTATATATTTTATCTATGATAATTCTATGATTTTTCTTTTATGTGATTCAAATTTAATGGTTAACATAAGTTTATATAGGGAAAGAGCATCTCAATATTCACAAATTGATGAAAAAAATGAAAGTTAATAATATAGTACCTCCATTTCTTATTGGATTCCTAAAAAGAAATATTTATAATGAATTTTAATAATTTTTTCGGATTTTTTTGAAACTTTAATTCGACCGATTCAGCAGATTCTCGATCCGGATCTTCGATTTGCCAATCCGGATTGATTTTTGAGATGCCCGATCCGGGTCACCGATCCGCTTTTTAAACCATTGCATTTTATATTTATAAACTATTATATTTATTTTCTTTTTTTCTTCTGAAATCCGGTGTAACATGTACAGCTTTGATTAGGTCAAATCTTTCACTGATTCAGTGTCCGATCCGATCTTGATAAGCTATTTTCATTAGGCTAGCTTTGACAAGAAAATGCAGTTCCCGCATAAGGAAACCTCTCAATAGCATGCAAATCTTATTACCCCGGGAACCTCTCAATGGCATGCAAATCTAATTACACCAAACCAGCGAATATAAAGCTCTATAAATAAAATAATGCAGATTTAGGGTAAAATCTTTCACTGATTCAGTGTCCGATCCGACCTTTATAAGCGATTATCATTAGGCTAGCCGATCCGATCTTTATAAGCTATTTTATTAGGCCAGCTTTGGCAAGAAAATGCAGTTCCCGCACAAGGAAACCTCGCAATAGCGCAAATCTAATCACCCCAAACCAGCGAAAATAAAGCTCTATAAATAAATAATCCAGATTTACACAAAATTTGACAACGTTTATATAAAGCTCTATAAATAAATAATGCAGATTTACACAAAATTTGACTACGTTTATATAAAGCTCTATAAATAAATAATGCAGATTTACACAAAATTTGACTACGTTTATATAAAGCTCTATAAATAAATAATGCACATTTACACAAAATTTGACTACGATTAAAAAAGCATGCATATAAGGAAGAAATAATGCAGATTTACACAAAATTTGACTACGTTTAAAAAAGCATGCATATAAAAAAAAGAAAAGAAGAAGACATGGCGTCGCCCGGACTTGAACCGGAAATCTCAAGTGTTATATAGACGTGATAACCAACTACACCATGGCATCAATTCATACTTTAAATATCCATTTAGTTTACAAATTACATGTGAGTAACGTAGGATTATTTCTGAAACATCATCATTCATCGATCTGGTTAAGGATTTGGTCTCTTCAAATAATCTTCAAATAAGGTCTAACCATTGATCATACTAGTTTGGACCACATTTTAGAAAAGGGTGTGGTTTGCATAAAGTTGCAACATTAAACAATCCAAGTAAGGCGCACCTCCAGAATGGTGCGAGAATCTATTTTTATATCTAATTATAAAAAATTTTAAACTAAAAAAACAGTTCAAATCAAGCAGATCTATGAACATATGAAAACCTTCAAAATAGATGGTCCAAATAATGCGTTCTAAGACAATGTCTTTAAGACTTGAAATACCTTTTTTTTCTCCATATATATACATCTTGATGTCGAGGTGATCAAGTACATGTTTTTCCAACATCAAAACAATATTTTTCGAAGGGATTTTAAAGCTGCACTTTAATTCTATATTTTAAGGTGTCAAGCTTATATAAACCATTTCCTTTAGGGCACGTTTGATTCAAACGAAAATAAAATTTTTGAAATATTTTACGTGAAAAAATGTCTTCATGTGGTTAAGTGTGAAAATATTGTCACACCAATTAACTACCAATTGGTATGAAAATATTTATTGAAACCAATTGATGTGAAAATATTCTCACACTTAACCATATGAATCAATTCTTCACATGAAAATATATTTTCAGGAAATATTTTCACGTAAAACAAACATATTTGAAAAAAGAAAAGAAAAATGAATAAAATAAGCTAAATTAATAAAATATATTAAAAACTTTCTCAACTTCATTTAACTTATGGAATAGCTAAAATAAATTGGTCCGAACGGCCAAAGCTGTTCAAACATTGGTTTTGATCAAATTCAGTTTTTACTTTGGACTAAATCGGTCGAGTCACTTATTAGTGATTCGACTTGTCAAACCACCGGTTTGGTATGGTCTGGCTAACTATGGTTCAAAGTACATATTAGAGATGGATTTCGGAAAATGTATATCTCTCGGCATGTGACCTTGAATGAGGATTTGAGCCTTAAAAATATCCATCTTATACCTGTTTGTCAGCCTGTTAACCTAAGTTCTTCATCAGATCTTAAAACAGTTATGAATCTCAAACGAAAATGGATTGCAGGGATTTTAGATGTGTTTCGAGTTATACAACTCTTAAAAAAGTAATGAATCACTCGCCGGGAACTTTTGATTTGCATAAACATATCTTTTATTAATTAAAATATAGGATAGACATTTAATGCTTTGCGCAAAAGTTTGAAAAACGTATGTTACAATGCCTTATTTTGTCAATCTTTGAAGAAGTGGAACGAGTCTACAGTCACTCTCAGAAGAAGTGGAAAGTCTCTCATTCCACTCCTCAAAAAGAGGCCCTCATAGTTATTAAATTAATATTCTCAATTATTTATGCATTGGGGTCTACTTTTTTTTTCGACTTTATGTTTTCAAATGTCATTTCAGGATGTATCATTTTCTTATGTTTGAAGAGAAACCACACTAGTCATATGTGGGGTCCAAAAGCATATAATGCTTTTTATTGGGG